GGTTCATCATCTACACGTTCTCTTTTTTTTCCTTTTAACTTTTAAAACATTTTTTTTAATTTTAATTTTCTTTTCCAACTATTCCGTTTGCACTACTTTTTTTTTTCTTGTTGTTTTTTGTTATTTGTTTCTCTCACTATGTAAATGTTTTTATTTTTTTATTTTTCAATACATTTTTTTTATTCATTTATTTTTTTTTACTAGTTTGTCCTTATTATTATTTTTTTTTTTGGATTTCAATTGTGAACAAAATAAAGGAACTTTCTTGACATTTCCGAATACTTCACCAAACTGGTATTTTCCCTTATTTATAGATGTCTCCACATTACTACACACGTGAGAAAGTAAAGAGGAATAATTTAGGTTGCTTGTCGTCTTTGTCGTAGTTATGAATTTGCTAACGTGGAGGGAATGTTTGTGGGTAGAGATGAGAAGAGAGAGACGGAGAGCGCGCGCGAGCTCAACAAAGCACAAGCTGGAGAGATTTTTTAGTGTCCGACACACAAGATTTATGTGTTAAAAAATTAATGATTTAAAAAAATAAAATTTTTCACCATTTACATAAAAACAAGCCGGGTACCATTTGTGTTTCTGTCACAATGAAAAGTTTATCCAAAGCTGAATACAGTTACAGAACCCCATCTCCACGTGTCACACCATAAACAGACAAACCCACATCCTCTCTCCCTCCCTCCAATCTCACTTTCGCCCAAAATAAAAAAAATAATAATAAAAAAATACTAGATAATAATTGAGGCAGAGTCAGGGGGTATGATAGTGACCAACCAAAATCCACAAAGGTAGAGAGAAAGAGGATAGAAACAGAAATAACAGTTCTTCCAGAGAGCGAAGGAGGAGGATGGAAAGGATCGAATCACAAATCACGCGTAAAAAGTAAAAAAATCAGAAGAAATTCATCGTCATCGAAGAATCGAATCGAATCGAACCGAAAGAATGAAGAAAGGATTGCATTCCCAAGCGGGGAAGCTCCACACAGTACTGCCGTACGAAACGCCACGACTCAGAGACCATTACCTCATGGGCAAGAAATTGGGCCAAGGCCAATTCGGCACCACCTACCTCTGCACCCACAAGCCCACCGGCGCCCAGTTCGCCTGCAAGTCCATCCCCAAGCGCAAGCTCCTCTGCCAGGAGGACTACGACGACGTCTGGAGGGAGATTCAGATCATGCACCACCTCTCCGAGCACCCCACCGTCGTCCAGATCAAGGGAACCTACGAGGACTCCGTCTTCGTGCACCTCGTCATGGAGCTCTGCGCCGGCGGGGAGCTCTTTGATAGGATCGTCCGCAAGGGGCATTACAGCGAGAGGGAGGCGGCCAAGCTCATCAAGACCATCGTCGGGGTGGTGGAGGGCTGCCACTCCCTCGGCGTCATGCACCGCGATCTCAAGCCCGAGAATTTCTTGTTCGACACGCCTTCCGATGACGCCACGCTCAAAGCCACCGATTTCGGCTTGTCCGTCTTCTACAAGCCAGGTTCAGCTTCCTTTCCTATCCGATCCACTTTTACTTGGTTCTTTCTTTCTCTTTATTGAACTAGGAAAGGGAAATGTTGGTCTGCTATAGCTTTTGAAAATATTTCTGATTATTTCTTCAACTATTTAATTTTGCTCAATTGAATTTCTTGTGCCTTGTTGTGTACTCAATCTTTAGGGTTTGCTTGATTTATACGTACATAGGTTTCTCTACTTAGTCTTGGATATGATGAACAAACATAAACTCCGCGGTTCCACCTACGAGGGAGGACAGAGGAGCTATTTCCCGGATATTGTTTTTTTTTCCTCTATGCCATGTTTGGAAGTTGCCAGATTTATTTAGAAATTCTTCTATATTGCATCACTAGATTCGACAATATTAACGTCCTTTTGGTTGGGGATGGATGGCTCATCTGTCATGGTATTGATATCATAACAAGGAATCTACGTTTTATTCAGTATGCCAATACATTCGGTCATTCCCGTGAGCGAAATTACTCATCAATCTCTATGTCCAAGACAGTCCGTCTGCATAAACATAATTCCAAATGTATTGCTTTGCCAGAACAATGCTTTTTCTCTTTTTGGTTTCCAAGCCAGTGTACAATTGACGCCATCACTATCCTGTATCAAATGCGGCTCTCCCTTGTGTTTTTCTCTTCCTCCCCATTGAAGCGTGAATGGTGTTTTTGTCATGCATAAAGATGGTTGGTTATGTGCTCAGCTATACCTTTTCTTGTTCCAGGACAAGTTTTCCAGGACGTCGTTGGGAGTCCCTATTATGTTGCACCTGAGGTGTTGAACAAGATTTATGGACCTGAAGCGGATGTATGGAGTGCTGGTGTGATACTTTACATCCTCTTAAGCGGGGTTCCTCCTTTTTGGGCAGGTAGCGATCCTCAACAGTTACTAACCCTTATCAGTGAGGCTTGACCTTTATTAACATGTTTGGTTCTTTTGTTGTATCGTGAGTTGTTTAATGTTTCAATATGTATCTACAGAAACTGAAGCAGGGATATTCAGACAGATTTTACATGGCAAAATCGATTTTGAATCTGAGCCTTGGCCTAATATTTCCAAAAGTGCGAAGGATCTCATGTGTAAGATGCTTGAGAGGAACCCAAAGAAAAGAATATCTGCCCATGAAGTCCTATGTGAGTGGTTTAATACCTAGTACTATGCTGATAAATTTTTATGAGATTGTTGCATAGATAAGGTTCTATCCAAATGGTAGCTGTGTTGAAATCTAAAATGGATCTTTTCAGGTCACCCCTGGATTGTGGACGACAGAGTTGCCCCTGATAAACCACTAGATTCTGCGGTTTTGTCCCGCCTCAAGCAGTTCTCAGCAATGAATAAGCTTAAGAAGATGGCTCTTCGAGTATGTCTTATTAATGTCTTACCAATTATCATCTTTTTATATATCTATCATTCTAATACATTTTCCACAGTAACCTTGCAGTCAATTGTTAAATTCATTTATCATCCAATGTGAGAGTTACAATTCAATCTCTGTCAAGGCATCATAAGTTTAAGATAACAACTAATATCATAACTTCTGTAACAAGTATTTTTAAAATGGTAGTAACATGATATGGGATGGACTTGGGATTTCATTTCACCTGCAAAACATCGGGTTACTGTAACGTAGACACTGTTTTTATAGTTTCTAGATCAAACCTCCATTTATACACTGCATTCAACTTCAACTGGAGTTGTAGAAACATCTGTAGGATACCCAATTTTTCCACTGAAGAAATCTTATGCAACCAATACAGTTTTTGTTTGACAATGATAAAGAAAGTGTTCTTTGTAGTGCACATTGTATTATATAAAGGTCGGTCTGAGCAGAAATATCATTTTTGACTAATTAAAAAACTTATCACTTTCCTTATAATACACGTGTTATCATATATTGTTCGTATCAACTTCACAAGATGGGTGTATGTTTTGATAGTGTTTGTGGTTGTAATAATGGTTAAAGCGATGTGAGACTGGGGGAAGACCTCTCTTTTTCTGTTTAATTCTCTCACTGATAAATATGTAAGGCCATAGTGAAGTAGGCAGACAACACTGATTGTTATATATATGATTAGTTATGGTTAAGTAAAGTTCTAATCGGAATATCTGAGTTTTCACTCAATCAGCAGTGAGAAGCCATATGTATGTTATTGTTTAGTATTGGACCAACTACCTCTGTTATTCTTTATGTCAGCAATTTGTTTCTACTTCTACTGTGACCAATTTTTTGTTTTGGTGAGGTGTAATGTAGATCACTGCGGTGTTCTTGTTTTCTTTGCCCAGGTTATAGCAGAAAGACTGTCAGAAGAAGAGATTGGTGGATTAAAAGAGTTGTTCAAAATGATCGACACAGATAATAGCGGGACAATAACATTTGAGGAACTTAAAGAGGGATTGAAAAAAGTGGGCTCGGAGCTAATGGAGTCTGAAATCAAGTCCCTTATGGAAGCAGTTAATAGATTGATCCCCATAAACTGGCTGCCTGTTACAAAGTTTTCAATATTCTTCCGTTTATGATCTTAATAGATCTCCAACGTTATTAACATGAATGACCCTCACAAAATCTTTTTGCTTCGGCAATATTGACAGGCTGATATCGACAACAGCGGAACAATAGACTACGGTGAATTTCTTGCTGCTACCTTGCACTTAAACAAGATGGAAAGGGAGGAGAATTTGATTGCAGCCTTTTCCTTTTTTGACAAAGATGGTAGTGGATATATTACCGTCGATGAGCTTCAACAGGCTTGCAAGGAGTTTGGTCTAGGTGACGTTCATCTGGATGAAATTGTCAAAGAGATTGATGAAGACAATGTAAGCGTTTCTTTTCATTATTATTTCGATTAGAAATAATATTAATGAAGTTTCGGAAGCCTAATTACATAAGTTTTGCAGGATGGGCGTATCGATTATGGGGAGTTTGCTGCAATGATGAGGAAGGGGGGTGATGGAGGAATTGGGAGGAGCAGAACCATGAGAAACAATTTGAACTTTAACTTGGCTGACGCTTTCGGAATAAAAGATCAGTCTACTTCTACCGGACAATGAGATAGTAACAAAGAAACTGCAATTTCTTGTAAACATGTAATTTGTAAAAGGAAGGAACTGAAGACAGAAAACTTGGCATGAAGAGTAGCCATTTGATTTTCACCATGATCATCTTAATCTCGGTTTGTAACAAACGACATATTTTCGTTATCTAATGGTAGTCATACCGTATTTCCATATAACATTTGAATACCACATGATTTAAGTGAATGTTTGTCCTAAAGTTATAAAAACGAAAATGTTATTTAATCTTAAAGTGCTGTTATTTGAACCACATTCATTGACGACCATTCCAACATAGGTGACTTGGGGTAGGAGGATAACAATGTCCGACAGTAAATGTGGTACATATAGCATTGTTGTTTTACCCTATTCTTTGATCCGACATAATTAAACAACGGTCCAAAGAAATCCTGGCAAATACGTTTGCCGTATACAAAAATTTCTCCAATCCCATTTCAAACCTCATTGCAATCAGTTACAACTTAAAACTCAAAACACTTTATCAAACTTCCGCTGGCCCTGAACCGGTTAACCATGTAGCCAAGTAACAAAAACGAAAGGGCAACCGCCATCGGAAAAACAATATAGCTCCACAACTTTCTGAATACTTTGTTATTTTACAAGGACTATCAATGTTACATGAGCCCAAAGCAATGATAAATTCATAAATAATATTGCACAGCAGCTTCCGGAACTTCATTTGAACTCCGTAATAATGCATTACCTAGTAAAGAATGCTTTGAGGAGCCTATATTGATAAACAGACACTCCCCTTTGGTACTGGAAAACTTTGTAACATTTGCACTACTTAGCGTTGAGACTACATACGCCCCCCTTTTTGACAGAAGCATGGAATGGGGGTTCCTCACCACCAGAACTTTCATTCGTAGATTCGCTTCCTCTTCAAAACGGTTGGAAATATAATCAAAGAGCCAATGAGGAATAGCACAAACAAAGTTTTAAAGTCATAGAGATCCTTGACTGAATTGAGATCTCCCAGAGCAAGGCCAGCCTAGCAAAACAAAATCAGCAGGTATTAACGACTACGATGAAAATATTTCAAGAAAAGAAACTGTCATATGTAAACTTGAAAAACAGACTTCGGACGGTCTAAGATATTCGGATGTAAGCAAACAGTTAAAGAATGGCCCCTGCAATAAAGTGAGATGAATTCTGGGAATAAAAGGTCTTCAGAGAAAACTAATTAAAGATGTCAACTATACTTTAAACCAATGGGATCAGATGTTCCGTTTATGTGTATCTTGATTATTTTGGTCGCAATTGTGATGCCTTCTCTATGTGCAATGGAGCTCTATTTTATATTATTATTATTATTATTAAGTGCAGCAAATAAAGTGGCCATACAACACGGTACGCAAGTTAACATGATGAAAATCAATTTAATCTGTCGTATTTTTATTTGGACAGGGACAACGTGTAAAATGCATGTAAGAAAGCAATTCTTAGTAGATATATACTTGATGTTTATCCAAAAGCTATCTTCATACATATTGACAATATTGTCAGTACGGTTATTAAATTCTATACCTGCAATCTAACTAAGAAAGCTTTAATTATCATGTCCCATCTCACATGGACAAATCAATCATCAAACATACACCTAATTACACAGCACGGGAAGCTTGACAATGACAGCCTTACTGAGACCCCTTAATTCATCCTCAAAATATATATTTTTTCTATTAACTTTATATTTGCTGTAATAATAATCAATTTGATTTCTTTATGATTTATTGCATTGTAAAAAGACAAATTTGACACTACGAGGTATAGAACTATTTCAACCAAAAACTAACATTAACAAATTTGCAAATTTCATGAGACTTTGTTCTAGATTTAGGTATTCATAGAAGAGCTTGAAGGCCTCAACCGAATTTGATTATAATATTGAATTATGCCAAGAACATGCTAATACTAGAGTTTACCAAAGTCTAAGTACTCTGACCAAAATTAGTTCACTCTTGGACCCTAGGAGTATGGGACTCCAAGTAAATGGGATCTTGACTAGACACACTGTCAAAAGAGAAGAACAAAACCAGAAGGTTTTCTGGATGGAAGGCCAACCAACATAGTTGGTCGACTTCTTTGGCTCAATCGCCTGACCTCCCAGCAGGCTACCTTTGCCAGCAGTTGGCTGAAGACCCTTACAATTTAAATATCTCATGTGACCGCCAATCACACTTCAGATTGAAGATAAGACAACAAAACACATATCCACTATGTTTCTGCAATCCACCGGTGTTACCTTGTGTTTTCCAACTCTACATATCTGAGAAATGGAATTTTATTAAAGAGCTAAAATTGAGATGAAAAACTTAGTGAACCAGATGTCCACCCACTATACGATACAACCCTAGAACAAAATCCAAAAATACACCTCTAACATCGCAATACAACTCTAATAACTATCCTACAGCAGCTCCCCAATCTAATAAAATTACAGAAAATGCAAAATCTCTAAAGGTTGGAGAAAACAAGAAACCATAGTACACACACTACAAGGAAGTTAAGCTCATGTCATTACCCAAGAAAGCAACAATACCTAGCACATACCTGCCACAGCCAAACTCCACTCAAGTTCTTCTATTTCTGACCAACCAAATTACCCAAGACATGCTTTTGACAAAAAAAAAAAAAGTTTGAAAACGTGACTAACAAATAATAACCAATTGAACCATGCTTCTCTGACCAACCCCCACCACAGCATCAATGCTTATGGATTACTACCTCTAAATACGGCGTACTTCAAGGCCTTAAAGTCCAAAACCTTCAAAAGCATAACAAAACAATGAAGTAAAATGCTGCCCAGAGCTAATCTAAGCAGTGTGAACTGTTTAACAAATTTGTTATTAAAAAGTATAGCGAGCACCATATACAAACACCAAAACAGGAATATATAGAAGACAATAACTAACCAGAAAATAGTAGGATGAGAAAGTTCCATCTATTTTACAGAAAATAAAGTTGGCATTTAATTAGTAGAAAGAACTTACTCTGACTGTGATATAAGATGCTGGAATAAGTCCAATAAAAGTCGCCAGAAAGAAAATATGAAACGGTATATCAACAATTGGAGATGCCAAGTTGATGAATAGGTTCGGCAAGGTTGGAGTTATCCTAAGAAAAAGCATGTAATTTAGCAGCTTTTCCCTACGCTTTGCAATCTGGATGCACAAAAGTTAAGGTTAAAGTAGCAGAAGATGGTAGCAGAATGATCAATTTTAACGGAGTAATAAGAAGTACCTCTGCCTGAAAAAATCTCAACTTTTCTGGCCAAAACCAACTAACAAAAGGCCTTCCAATTAACTTAGACAAAAAGAAGCAGGATGACGCTCCAGCTGTTGCGTTGCAGACAACCAAGATAAGGCCCCTGATTACACCAAAAAGAGCTCCAGCTAGCAATGACATAAAAATTGTCCCAGGAATCATAAAAGTCTGCATGAAGATGTAAGTAGAGCAGTAACCCAGAATAAATTGTGCTGGATAATCATTGGCATATGTTGCCAGATTGTCTCTGCAGAAGATTATAAAAAATATTAAAAACCAGAACAAGCATTCAGGGGAAATGACTAATGTTAAATGGGACCATAAAGGCCACAGTACTGGATAAAATAGACAGCCAAAAGTGAAAACATGACATGACTCCAAGGCATAGACCAAAACTGCAACTGTCGCTCTCAGTGGTGTGTAACGTGCAAAAGGGACGTGAAATGTAGGTATCCTTTTACAGGTGCATCCCCTAGTGACTTCTCGGATTTGAAAGTGACTGTTTGAAATGAATGAGTTACCTTCAGTTTTCCTCCAATTGTTGGAAACTTAAGTCATGAGGTATTGTCTTGGTAACTGGGACGAACATTTTGGAGATGTGTTCTCATGGTCATAAATAGGTTCTCTATGAATGGAAAGAAAGGCGATTTTGTTCTAGTATTTACTTTGCGATTCTTCTCAGGCTTCCATATCGCAAAAGATTGAAGACCAGATTTTCCCTTTTTTCACATGCCGAGAGGGGAGAGAGTGGTGGGGGTGGATGCCTATTTGTTACCATCTGAAAGCTGGCTACAGATATATTCTTTCTACCAGGTCTCATATGCAAATGCAGTCTAAACACAAGTTCCTTCTACATTCTCATTCTACCGAAGTCTTCAAACATGCCTACGAAACAATATGCAATACCTTGCAGAGGTGAATTCGATGGTGTGTAGTGACTAAAAAGAAGCCCTATCGACGTAGGATTTCTACTTGTTTCATAATTTTTATTCGAATTTCAAATCAACCCAACATTTGTGACAATATCTTTGGAGAAACCGCAAATTAAACGCCATTTTTGATCAAATATCGGACTTCTTATGCAAATCAGAGAAAGAGAAAGAAAAAAAAGCAACTCAGATAATAAAATTTTCCGCCATCATCAAATTAGTGTAAACAAAATCTCAATAACCCTTCAAAAACACAACTACAATATCACATATTCGAAAAATTTGAACAACAAATCCAAATTAGAAATTGATTGAATCGCGAAAGGGACGTACTTGAGAAGGCGAAGATCGACAATGGTGCGGGGCAGCTTGAGTTTACCGTACTCGGCGGCGGGCATGGTCAAGTAGACACAGGAGAGGCCGGTAGAGAAGACCAAGACAACGGCGAGAGCCGCCGCGAGCTCCCACCGCGAAAGCGGAAACCTTTCGGACTTGAGCTTCTTGCCGGTTGACCAATCGTCCTCCTTGGCATTCTCCTCGTCCCTCGGCAGCCTCCCCGCGTCCCCCGCCAGATTTCTCGGAGCCGCCATGTACGGATTGCACCAGCACCGATACGAAGATGATGAGGGCCCACGTCAATAGTAACACTCATTCATCGACAAATTTGCGTCCTTGGTTTGCTGTCAAGGTCGAAGTTTCAAAGTGTGGTTTTTAGAATGCGACCCACATCGATCAAAGATTCAAAATCTGAGACAGACACATGTTGTGGATCAAATTCTTGGATACAAATTTGGGAATTGAATTTGGTTTCGGTTTTGGGTGTTAAAATTGAGATTCAATTCCTCTTTGTCGGTGGGTAACAATCAGACTCAATTTATGTGGTTAGGAACAAGAAAGATGGAAAGCGAATGCAAAAAGAGATATGAAACGACTATGGACCGAAAATATATACAAAAACGAGGTTGTGTAATATAAGGGATGATATCCACACATCCTATTTTACTTTTTACACATTTTTTTAATTTTCGACTGTCGGATCAGATGAATTGAAGAAAATCAACGGATATAAATTATTATGGGGTGTGTGAGAAGTAAAATAAGATGTGTGGATAGCACACCCCTATATTAAAGACTGTTTTTCCTAATTATTACCGTTCATAAATTTAAATTTGGGTAAATATCAGTTTACTATTATCAAATTTTGTGAATTTTAATATTTAGTACATGAAATTTTTTTCGTCCCAGAGTCATAGCTAAAGTGTTAATTTTGGGTGCGTTTGGTACGCAGACGGGACGGGACGGGACAGAACGGGACTGGACGGGACGGGACGGGACGGGACGGGACGGAACGAAGGTGTAATTTTTGAAAAAGACATGGGGTATATTTGTCTTAAAATGGTAAAACATTGTGTTCCACATACGTGGAACAAACCCGTTCCAGGGGTAGGAGGTGGAACGCAAAAACACCCAAAATCTGTCCCGTGGAACAGCCCGTTCCACCCATTTTTGGCGCACCAAACGCGGGACGGAACGCCTCGTCCCGTTCCGTCCCGTCCCGTCCCGCGTACCAAACGCACCTTAGGACAGTGTCATATATTAACTGATGACGTTATACCCAAAGTTTCGTGATTTTTAAATCTGACTAGTTAAGTAGATTTTCGTGAATAACAAGTTAAATGATGATAGAGACCGTAGTGATTTATTTATTTATTTTAAAAAATAGAGGAGTACAAGAAGAAAAAAACAACCTTTGTTGCTTTCAATAAGAAGTCATGGTCGTTTAACGAAAATCATATGTTGTCGACCCCTACCTTAAGACCTTTGGACCAGCGTCAATCTTTCTTGGTAGTCTTTCTAAACATCCATATTTAAAATAAACGTGATAGGATTGAAACACAATTTCAATCCTTGTATTTTTCTCCTTGTATTCTTCTTGTATTTTTCTCCTCGTATTCTTCTTGTATTTTTCTCCTTGCACGCCATTCTTCCTTTGCTCTTTTTTAGATGATCACAACACACACAACAGATCCTCCTCACGAGCAAAGAAATTGCACACAGCTTCTTGACAGATGATTTGTTTATGAAAGAATATGATTGGTGCTTGTAGTGACAAAGTCACATAAGATCAAGGAGGGCGCCCCTCCGGTCGTTGGAAAACCCTATGAAGAGTACGAAATCGCCCCTATGAACCTGCACGAAAGGTGTTCAACAAAATGCCTGCACGAAAGGTGTTCAACAAAATGCTTGAATGAAACTCAAGTATGCTGTCATTGTTGTCACTACTGCGCCGCACCTTGCACGCGGGGCCAATTTTTTTTTGTTTTTTATAAACCCAGGCCATAACGAGTTATTGGCATTACAAAAGAAACACCAACATATTGTGGATGCAATAGCGTTAGTGGAAGTATCCAAGCAAACATTACAATTCTTGGTAGATGGTAACTTTGAGGATTTGTTTTATGATGTACAAAAGTTGTGTCAACAAAATGATTGATGTTCCTAACATGAAAGATTTGCATTTTGTATCTGGAATATCAAAGTGTACAACTTAAAGACTCGTAAACTTTCATTATTATCGTGTGGACCTCTATTTTCAAATCCTTGATATGCAAATAAATAATTGAATGCTCGCTTCAATGAATATTGTGAAAACATCATTGTCAAAATTAAAGGCCAATAGTTTAGCGATATCATGGTTATTTACAATAAAAAAAAATAATTTTACTTTTAATGATAATGGACATATAATGCGATGTTGTTATGACATAAAACTTCACTGGCAACAAGTATTTAAACTAAAAAAACTCCTTTTTATTGGATGATATTATATTGATATCGAAAATATTCATAAAATAAGTTGTCATTTAAAAAGTTAGTTTCTTGGCATCAGAGCCTCTCAGCCCAACATCCGTAACCAGGCTACTGAGCATGGGCGTAACCAAATTATATGGACTGGACTATTATTTCTTTTTCTTTTCTTTTTTAAGAGCCATAAGCATAACAAGAATAAATCATTGAAACCATATATATGGATCTTCTGCTGTCACAAGTCTCGGAAGCATCCAAGAAGATGATTGTTCTGAGTTTCTTGCTCATAATTTTGAGGTGCCGACGACAAACTTGGATGAGAAAAGGATGCCCGATCAGTCAATTGCACTTCGAGTAAGTTGTCCAAATTTCTCCAATCTATGTGTTGATTGCTGCTATTATTGTTGCTCCTTTCCGCCTCATAGTCGTCAGTGCTTATATTGTTGCTACGCAATACATGTTCTTTGGTGACAAAGCTTGTTGAAATGGTTGGGCTTTCTAGTTGAGGAAGTTCCATGAGTTGGTTACCCAAGAAAATGTTGTTCGAAACGAAATGATCTTCCTCTGAACCAAAAGATTGATGAAAACCTTGATTGGGGTTGATCAGCATAGGAATTTCGCTCGAGAAGTTTGAAGATGAAGGATGATCTCTGACATAGGCATGCTTCCATGCTTCAAAACCTTGCCTGTGACTGGGACTTGGCTTCTTGAATGCCCGGCATACAACCCATCCTTCTTCCTGCATGATCACCCCCAGGCCGAATTAATGGCTTGTTTACAGAATTATCAATTCTATGTGTGCGTAGAAAATATATGTTCACTTAATATTAAATTCCAACTACGTACAAATGCATGTTATTTACTGGTTTAGGGTTTAATGACGGCATTTCTCTTTAACAATAAAGTTTTCAGAGAATTATTAATGAGTATTAATATTGTCAAATGCTGGGATCAATTGAAGAAAATTAAATAACAAGTTAATGGATAGACGATGTTGAAGAACTTGCCTGAGGGGGTGCATGTTCAGAAGTTTGGAGTCGATATTCATGCATGATCCAGTCGGTTTTGTTGCCGTTAGGTGCCCGTCCCTTGTAGAACACCAGGGTCTTCCTCATTCCTATAATGTTGTCCTTTGAAAGCACTGCCTTGTCTCTTCCTGTTGCCTTCCAGAATCCAGCAACTGTGGCTCTATTTGTTCGCGTTCCGGTCGGGTACTTCTTGTCTTTGTGACTGAAGAAGTACCACTCGTTCTGTTCACTGTAACCTAACCTGCATCTCGCTGTACCACACAATACATAGACATAGTTATCAGAATGCTTGAATATGCTCATAATCTTATGAGATGTCAATAACAACTCTTTTGTTTAGCCATTGATGAGTGATGACAGAGAGTAGCATTTGTGTTTATGTTGTTTCTATCTGTTTTGTTTTGTTTTTGCAACCAACAAGCATCGGCGCATTTTTCCAATGTTGTTTTCTTTCTACACGTTGCCATATGCAAAAATTTAAATATATATATAGTATGAACACAAAAACGCCCTTAGGACCATATCTATTTATGCCATTTCGAAGTCAAGCTGCAAATGTTAAAATTAAGTTGGTTCTAAGTACCTTGTATGTCCCATGGTTCGATTTTGTATAGGTCAATGTCAACGATGACATCTAGATCAATATGTAGTGAGTTGATCTTTCTTTTCAGGTAGTAACCCACAAGTTCTTCTTCTGTCGGGTGAAATCTGAAGCCTGGTGGAACACAAGATTCCATCTCCATTACTAATGATCTTCTAGACGCAGCTGCACATCAGGCAAGGAAGTATGAGGAAGAGTAATTATTATACTTTTGACTAGCTATATATGTGCATGAGTGTTTATAGAGAGAGTACTACCAATCTTGCTATAGTAATAACAACGTAATTCTGTGTTATTAACTAAAGCCTTATCATAATTATTATACAATATATATGAGATATTATATTTGAACGTGATTGCATTACACTACTAACATTCAAAATGGTACAACCCTCTTTTTATTAAAGGGTGCCATAGAATTTTCCTATGTACATCCATCACGTGAAATAAAAAGAGTCATGTGATCCATTTTTTTCTCACATACGTATTGCCTATGTAACAGTCATGGTTGTCATTCCTAATCTTCTATATCTAACATTTTTTTAGTCCATTTCTTTATACCTTAGTCTCAATTTCTTAGGACTTAAAAATTCCTTACTCAAACATATAGCCGCAAGGTTCTTGTAATTGGCGTAGGTCTAACATCAAAGAGAAGACAACCAAACAATTGACTTTTAATTTGGAGAGATACTGAAGAAGGAATTCTGAAAGTTTTATAGAACCTATACTATAGTAGCTAATTTGCTAGCTAGAAATGATGGCGATTTCACTTTGTGGGAGCTGTGAGTAGTCCTGCATGTGTTTTTAGCTAAATGACACTGCGGAAAAAGAAATCATGACAGACTAGTAGTGGATTGGAACCCACCACACAGTAACATTAAAACATAGGATCTTATAATTAAGCTCAAGTAATTTGTTTTCATTAGTTGCATGGAGTAATTAGGCAAAAGTATATCGAACACAAAAGTTGGCCGAAAAGCTTGACTTTGCTGGCACAAGCATGTTATATTTCTTTGAGTGCAGTACACTCCCTGCTTCCTACCTCCTGCTCGATCGATCTCTACTAATAGTAACAGTGGTGCGAATTAAATTCCTTTAAACATTTCACTTCATACCCACGACATAGCTACACAATCAAAACTAATCAATTAAGACCAATCTAAGATTTTCATTAATTACCGTGAGATTGTCAATTTGATCTATATAGTACAAACAAATCATCGATCGATTGATCATCCATAAAATGTTAATTTTAATTAACTGTAAATGTAGATGGATGACACAAATGCTAGTAAGTTCATCAGTAAAATGCACTAAGAAATTTAAAATAAAATTGCAATATATATGTTGTATAATGTATAGTTCTGCATGCTGCATTGTGATTGAGTACATATACATGATCGGAATAATATATAATGCACACAGGAAAATACTCACAGGAAATCTATAAAATGTGTTGCTTCAGCTGCCTTCTTTGCTCTAGGAAGAGAACTTGTAAGAGATCAGGAAAGGAAATACTCAAGGATGATAAATGCAGACGTACGTAAAAAAAGGAGGAAATATTGAAGATGTATGTATTAGTTGGATCCGGGGAACCCTAGCTTCTGTGTGTGTAAGAGAGAGAGAGAGAGAGAGAGAGAGAGAGAGAGAGAGAGAGAGAGAGAGAGAGCTTCTGCAGTTCTGTGAAGTGAATATTAATTTGTTGATGAAGAGAAAGAGAGGCTAATAAATGTATTTATATACATGGGCCAGCTGCTCGATGGTGATCATGATGAACATTTAGATGAAGAAAATAGCTAGTTATAATTAGTTTAAAAACAAGAGATATGGTATGGAATTAAGAGAGAGGAGAGGAGAGGAGAGGAGAGGGTAGATAAGAATGGTAATGGTATTGATTGCGCATTGGCATCGCGCGTGGGGTGGCAGCTGAGACAATGAGATGCAAAAGCTTTGTGTTTGGACGGCGTGAGTGTGACACCATGTTTACACGCCACCCCCGCCCACCGCTATTTTGTGTTCTAAGATTATATATGTATGTATGTATGTATGTATAACTAAACTAGGTTTTAAGCTTTAAGTTTTAACAACATTCACTCCCACACTATCTCTTGAATTTATCATCTCATTTTTTGTTGTTTATATAAATAGTTTTTCAAATCCCCCTTGAGAAAAAGAGTTATCAGTTTTCAAAATACATCACTATGTAATCTCTCCAACATACCAACATATATATATATATATATATATCACATCATCACATTCTCTCCTTTCACTATCCATCTACTCCTCCCTGTCGATTCTGTTTGGTGTGCCGGCCTCTGCCATTTGGTACCATTCATCTGCTGCCACATATACAGCCGTGGCAGACTCCCAACCTGCCCGTATCAAATAGCTCATTTTCTACTGAGTTTTATCGTATTCATTTTTATTTAATTTGTATCTGCCAGATGAGTCTCGCCAAAGTCATCCATCACTTTTCGATCACTAAATTAAGGTTGGGATAATATAATGGGCTAAGCTTTCTTATTTGTTAATTAATACACTCGGGAACAAGAACAACCTTTCTTATTCATTCCATTCAGTCCTTATCAGCGGGTTAAATATATATAGATACAACTAGAAAAATATTTTTCTCTGATTTAGATAAAACCCTGTCGTCCCCTTTACAGCTATTTTTTATCTTGTTAATGTGTGGTTATAAACTAACATTGTTTTAGTTCTGTTGGAAAAGGTTTCCTTGGATTTTACTACTAAATTTCCCGGATTTATATAAGGGCCAGTAACCCTATATACCTGCAACATGGAAAGGTTGTCAGGCAGTATGTGGGGAGCTACACTTTCTTGTGCTCTTGGTGCAGATCACGATCACATTGCGGAAAGATCATAGTTAAAAACAGGAGAGCTTCAGTTGAGTTAAATGTTTTTCATTCTATACTTTAAAAGATTATTACTACAAAAAAAAAAAAAAACCTATATCCATCTCATTTCGAGCTTTTCTCAAAATACTGTGTATATCGTATTTATTTACTTTTTTTGCTTAAGCTCGATATCTTAGCCATCTCAGATTCATCTTTTTTTTTTTCAAGGATGATCTATAAATAAAGACTTGAAAACATACAGTTTTTGAAACAAAAACACTCTTGTGCTAACATGATCGTTAGTTAATACGGTGTTAACTATTTATTTGAGACCACTCAACATATATCTCCCATAATCCAAAATGTTTATTTTGTTAAGTGGTCATTCAGAGATCATCATTGCATAAAATTAGCCATTTCAAAAATTGTTTATACCATTCAATTGTTATCATAAAAAATTTGTTTATTTATATGAAATGTTGTGTTTCTCTTTGTTCGATTATAGTTGGGTGACTATGTCGGAGAAATTTTATAATACATGTGGGTTATGAAGGGAAAACTTTGTTCAATTAAGATTATTTGAGCAACACATACAATAAAATTAACATTAAAGGCGGAACTAAGGAAAACATGACCTCAAAATTCAATCTTTAACCCATGAAAAATTCAAAAGCCTAGTGAAAGGTGAACTAAGACTCACCACAAATTGAAAAGAGAAAGGATTGAACTTCATACCCTTAAAGCACATCCTTGTTTACACAAGGTTATTACCCAAGTGAAAGGCCTTCAATCTCTACCCTTGATTTTATGTTTGCTCCTTGTAGATGTGTTGAATGGAAACTCCGAGTTTTAAAAGGATGGAACCTCTAAGTCTCCACACCAAAGATCTTTGCTCCTTGTAGACAAGAAGTTATCCATGTCTATTATCCAATGTGATTATTATCCATGAGTCCATATGATTCCTGTGAATTGATTTGGAACATTCTTCTTAAATCGTATTCACGTGCTTTGCCAAAGAATCCTGAATCATACCACAAAGTGTTCTCCTTCCAAGATTGAAGGTTAGAGATCCCTTGTTGTACACTCGCATGTCTCTATAAATAAATCAATGATCCCAACAATGCTAGGAACATACCCAAGACTGAGCATGGTCTTTGTTACATTGTTATATGATCAAAGACGTATTCATAAGGCAACCGTGGTGTCTTAGAAAAAGGACTACTTTACATTATTGCCACATGAGGAATCTTTGTTGATCATAGTTCAGTGAACTCCATAACCTTTTGAGCACCTATATGTTTGTCATAGCTAGTGTCTCACACTAATAACTTGACACAAGTCATACTCCTAATTCACATATCACATACTAACCTTTGTAGATTATTAATGCCCAATTGACAATCTTATGGCTAGAAATGTTTTAGGAATGAATATAAGAGAAAGGTCTCATTGATTTAACTATCTTAGATCACTTGTCCCTTAGGTTAATTACATTCCTTGGATTCTATTATTGATTATATACATAATATGTAAGAACACTATAACAAACATTGCCCTTCCATTAAACTAAACTAGCATTGCCTACACACTTTGTATGTGTGAATATTTTTTATTTTCATTTTTAAAATAGGAAGGAGAGAGGGAGAGTGAGAATGTGGGAGTGGGAGTGAGAAGAGAGACTTCTGTTTTTTGTTTTTTATTTTTTAATATTAGATATATGCTAAATTCACCTGCAAGTGAAACTTCAATAAAAAACGACAAAATTATTTGGTTTTATGAAATTACATTATTTCATATCATTTTTTTTCTGTGATAAAAGACTAAATAGTCTTTTCACTCTCTTTTCGTTGACAAAGAGGTTTTTATTAATAAGTAGTTTAGATAAGAGTTTAACAACATAAGTATTCCTAAAACTGTTACATTAAATGAGTGGCTTTCAGGGTATACTTCAAACATATTATGGTTATTGTAAGGGATGAAAGACTATTTTAAGGCATGTAGTAACAAAATTATGTGTTTGTCAAAGTTTTGCACACTCCTAATACCCTTAACCCTAATATTCAAAGAATGTTTACAAGGTGACTCAAGATTCCTAAGAGATAACATGCGCACTTTGTTAGATCCTAGAAGCATGTATATGTGTGTTTTCATACATCTTACTCATGTTAAAATCTGCAGAGATTTGCCCCTATATATAAGTAATGTGTATCTTCAAATAATGTGTAACTCTCCAGTTACACCCATTGAATTAGACACATTGCTTCACCAAAAGTTCCCTATAGGAAGCTATTCTGCGCCTTGCAATGTGACAAAAAGTCACTAATCCCTTGGCTTTACAATTCTGCAGAAATTATTTTTCCGAAGAGGGGGAAAAAAAAACTACTTCATTTAAAGATTATCCTTGTAAATTTTCACAAATCCAAATCATTTTGCCATTTGATCATTGCTTTGAACATTTCGACGTCTATATATATAAAGTGTCCAATTCCGTTGAGTAATCCCTTAAATAAGCTTCTTTGTAGAGCTCACTCCACATCATATTTCAACATACTAACCCATTCATCTTTTAGGTTCACCCCTCAAGGACCATCTTTAAAAAAAATCACCCAAATTCAAACCATTTTACTATTAGATTAAATGGTAGTCATATTATGTTTCTTTGAAAAACTGTATTTATATATTTTCTTTACTATAGTTGATTGTCTTAATGGGTTTGAATCTGTCTAATTTTTTTGCAAAGATAATTTATGAATGATATACTAAAAAGTAGAAAGTTTGGATTGTTGAAGAAAATTACGAAAATGAGCAACATAGTAAAAAAAAGTTCTTTCCTTTTCGTGAATGAATGGAAAATTATAGACAAGTTTAGGCTTGTTTGCTTATAAGTGCTTATGCACGAAATGTTTTGATTATAAACAAGTTATTTTTGAGTGAAATGTATAATATTCATTAAACATAAGAAAAAAAAAAGTTGTACAAGAGTATAGGTTACAAATTATAGAAGTTAATAACTTGTGAAAAATCTTGTCAGGACTTTTAACCTGGAATCAAGAAAAAATGAGATAAACATTACATACTTTCTTGAAAAAGTATTTGGAAATTGTTATTCTAATCTATTTGCAAAAGCAGTCAGAAACGGTTTTAGCCCTTCATGCAAGCAATGCCATGTTGGAAAATATTAGTATTTAGGTTTATTTTAGTATTTGGGTTTTGCTTGTTAGTTTAGGATTTGGGCCTAACCCATCCGAGTTAAGGTTTTTTAGGTTTAGTTTTCTATAAATATAGTTTGTAATTTAGTTTAAGAAACAAGTTAGTCACGATGTAGTCTTTTGAGATTCTATAGCCGTTTCGACATTCTTATTTGTTTAATAATATTTTTGTTAGTCTTGTTCATTGCGCACTATGATATTCAACTTGGTATCAGAGCATGTTTGATTCTTCGGGATTTAATCTGTTCTTGAACGTCGCGTGTCAATTTGTTGTCGTCTTCCGCTATTTTATTGTTCTAGTTTAGATAAATTAGTTGAAGTAAAAAAAAAAAAAATTGCCTTTGTTCATTGTTCGTCATTCGTTATTGTCCCGTACTCCAGCGTTTGATCTGCATCTCACCAGGCGCATCACCACATTGTTTCCTGCACTGCATCTGCACCCTTTGCAACCCGCGCGTTTTGCACTAGAGTTCCTGTTGCAATTGTTTGCACAGAAAAGAAAATGCGACGAAGGAGAAAAGAAGAAGGAAAAAAAAAGGAACCACAGAAAGGAAAAAGAGGAAGAATGGGAAAATAAGAAAAAAAATAAAGCCCCACACAAGCAAGGGAAAAAAATTGGTTAGAAGGCTTTGGGGTCCACTTTTGTTTGAAGTTGTAGGCCCATAATGAGTTTGTTGATGCTGTTTGGCTTGTATGTTGTTGCACACCGCAACGATTGCTCGAGTGCTTGAACTGATGACCACTCGAGTGACGTTG